TTATATATTGCTCCTGTTTTTCTGGGGAAAATAAACATTGCGCAAAGCATAATGATATTCTTACCCCTTTCCCAACTAGTTATGGACCCTACTCTCTTATGTTCTGGCAAATGGAATATTTTTAAAATAAATTTTCTTATAGAATAATTCCGTTCATTAATAAGTTGTATAGCATTTTCCAAGTCGTCTGTGGTCCAGTTAGCTTTATTAGTCGTTCTACGGCCCAGTTTCGGTATCGACAAATAAAAAATAATACTGTTTTACTGAGATGAGGTAGTGTGGGCAATGGGGATCTAGATAATCGGGATCACCCGACTCCGTTGCCACGTACCTTTGGTTTAAGCTCTCCTCAACAAAAACAACTGCTCTATGCCTCTATATATAAATACCAAAATACCAAATAAAAGCACAGGTTTTCGCCACAACATTTTGCGATTGGAACTAAAGGAAAAAACTGTGGCCGTAATATTTAAAAATAAATGTAACGTAAATATTTTATAATTTTCTTCGTGTACATTAAAAGCGCACAATGGCTTGAACAAGCCAAGTTAGTTTAACGAGCTCGTCGACGTTGTTATCACAATGATAATTGCAAAGGCCGATTATACGGACGCAAATTAATTAATTCAATTAATGAATTCTACAAACCTACTTTTGATTTCATAGTTCATGCAAATCCTATAAAAGAAGAAACTCTTGCGCAACGCGACTGCGGTGTAGTAACGTGAATACATTAGTTCGTTTGAATTTTCGTCATGACTGAAGTTGTCGGACCGAACATCTTATATATAGGTATTCTGGTACCATACTCATTTAAAAACCACGCTTGAGTTAAAAGGTTTGAGGCCAAAATTGCTGAAAAATCAACAGCTTTCCCTTTATGTGGGTTACCGTAAACCCAGTCGGGTTTTAGGAAAATCCATGACTGTATTACTCTTCTGGCACCCCTAGACTATACCAAAGCAAGCGGTATTACTTTTTAAATCGTTTTTGGCTAATCGTACGCAGAGAGTCTGCATTGAAAATGAAATTTTCACGGAGGTGGCTCTTGTCGGTGACGTTCCGCAGGGATCAATACTGAGCCCTGTTATAAGTCAAGCTTTCGCCTGGGACGGTCAATTCATGTGCCGAGATCTAAATAAATTGCAATCTTTTTCACTGAAACACTCTATTTTATTTTTAAATCCTAGGAAATGTTGTATTATGCTTTTTGGCAGAAAGAATGATCTGGACGGTTTGGACGCTCAAGTTACCTATAAAAAATAACGTAAAAAACCTGGGAGTCTTCTTCGATTTTGACTTGAGATTTGAGAGCCATGTCGCTGCTCTATGGTTGTCGTCACTATTTCTCAAGGAAAATAAAAATTACATTGTGCTGTCTGTGTTCAATCACGGTGATATTTTATATGGAAACTGTTTAACAGCTCTGCAAAAACAAAGAATACAAAAAGTGCAGAATTCATGTTTGCGACTGATATACGGTATTAGACGCCGAGAGAGAATATCACATAAACTAGTAGAGACTAAATGGTTGAACATGGAGAGCAGAAGAAAACCACATTGAAGCCTGTTTTTATCACAAAGTTCTGTACTACAAAAGTCCTCAATATCTGTACAGAAGGATGATGTTCATAATTTAAATATTAGATTTAGGGGTGCATAACTCCTCTACATAAAACAACACTATTTGAGCGTGGCTTTTCTTTTAATATAGCTAAATTGTATAATAGTCTTCCTAATAACTTCAAAGCCCTGACTCCAAGTAGATTTAAATCTTATGCTGGCAGATATTTTTTCGATAAGTAAATTTTAAAAAAGCACAGTCTATCTCTTTAAAGTCATGTGGGACGTCGATACGGACTTACACCGTCGACTGTATCCACGATTTGGAAGAGCAAAGAAAAAATTACTCAGGCTGAAGCGGCAAGCAGTTCTAGTAAAAAACTAAGAAAGCCAACAGCAACGTCCTAAAAATGTACCACTCTGTGGACCCATCGTAAAACTAAAAGCAGAAAAGTTTGCTGAACAGCTCGGCATTATCGATTTCAAGGCTTCGGAAGGTTGGTTGGGGAAGTTCAAACAGAGACATGGTATAAATTATGTACAGATAAGTGGCGAAGCCCGCGCTGTCGACATTTTTAATGCTGACGGAACTGGTATTTTTTACAAAATAACAACAAACAGATAAAACTCTTAAATTTCGAAGCGATAAGTGTGTGGGTGGAAAACTTTCTGAAGAACGTATAACAGTGTTAGTAGCTGCCAATGAATGAATGGGAGAGAAAAAAGAAAGCTAGTCGTGAATGGAAAATCAACTAACCCACGATGTTTTAAGCACATCAACAATTTCCCCGCCACTTACAAGGCAAACAAGTCTTCATCGATGACTTGGCAAATTTTTGAAAAGGAGATACGGAAATGGGACCAGAGCGTAATAAAAAGTCTTAAGGATCGTTACAGGAAAAATATTTTAATAGAAACGATCGAGTCCGAAAACGAAGATGCAGTCAGCTTTATTAGTAAAGCTTGGAAAGAGGTGACAGCAGAAAAAATTCAACACTCCTATCGTCATGGACTTCAAACAACAGTTTCAAACAACAATTATGTTTAGAAGTGAGGAGTTCCAATATTTTATAGTGATAGATCAGGATTTGCCTACAACAGCAGACTTGACAGAGGAAGCCATATTACAACATGCAAGAAAGGGTGAGGAAGAGTTGATCTGGGATCACCACAAACCATTCAACAAACTCTATATTCAGTTAACCTGCTAGAGAAATTGGGGAAGATGCCCCTCTCGAAGAATTGATGAAAATACAAGGCAAAGTACACTAAAAAGATTCAGAACAACATTAAATGTAGTTCTTAAATATTAATATAAAATGTTCCTAATTAGATGTGAACATATGTATATAAATTAATTAAATATTACAGAACACAAATGCCTATTGTTATTTTTCAACTAAAAAAAATGCAGTCGAAACGCTATATAGAGTTTCGACTGTATGTCCACTTGACGGAATTGCTTTGACGACGCAGGGTGGAGATGAAACGTTCGACCACGTAAATCGTTTTAAATTTTTTGCTTGACCCCGTTACGTAATGAATGTTTACGATAACACGCCGATCGGGAACATAATCGGCCGACGATTGACCGTATCGAAGTGTAAATGCGCATAATTACAAATAATAATAATTGCGATTAACAGAGACGTTATAAATAACGTATATCTTTTGCGGCCGTTACCTATCTCAATCGGAACTCGAGTGGTGTGGCGGCTCGTTTCATATCGCATTCGTTTGCAAATTTGATTATTTTGCCGTGGCCTCAAAATAGCATCGTTTTTTGGAAAAAAAATCGAAGAAGTAATATCGCGTTTTGGTTGTAATACTACATCATACGACAAGTTTTGCGGCCAGCGATTTAATTTTTGCTAATTAATAAGATTCATTTGCATAATTTAAATTTAGTTAAAATGTGACGACCTTTACAATAGAAAAAATTGCGTAATAATAGTAATCTGGCTGGTGTTAAACAGGTGTTGAGTTATTCAGTTATTTTTAGTTATTCCCCTAGAAAAATGTATTTCTTATTTTTCAATTATTTTATCATTCTTTTTATGAAATAGTCGCACAATTCAACTACGTGGTTAACTTTTTTACTGCGACTAAAAAAGTTGCTTATTTGATTATGTTTCAAATTGGTTTTCTATTTTCTTTCCCCACAAAAAGCCTTTCTCTTTTGTCTAATATATTGTTATTATTTTATTGTTCTAAAAAACAATATAATAATAAACATGTACAAAGTTACGTTGCTGCTTGTGAAAATTTTTCTTGTCATTTCTTAATTGCTTTTATCTGCAATTTTTATATCCAATGAACAATACGTAAATAATTGAAAAAAAAATCTCTTTCGAATATTTGTTATTGTTTTTATGACAAGAAAGACCTTTAGGGTAGATATTTAAGTAGCTATAAATTAGAATTTTTTATTCGGCCAAAGCAAATTTTTTTATTCTTCTTTCGTGGGACGTCATTGTTATTCCCATATGCTTTAGAATAGAATAAATTACATTATACGTTTATTCGTTTTAGACAATGTTATGATTATGATTATTATTATGATTATTGTTATTATACAGTAAACACATGCAGCTGTCAGAAAGTCACGTTTCTTTTAATATTCCAGAAATGTTGCTGTTAATTATTTTTAGATTCCTTTAATCTCTAACATTATTTTTACAAGTCGTCAATTATTAAGTAATAACTTTATTATGAGCATTATATATAAAATATATAAAATAGTGTATAGATAGAAAGTTGTGTTTCTTATTTTATTTCATTAATTCCTATAATATTCCTAATAATAATAATATTAGCCATAATAATATTGCTTATATATTTTTTTGTCATCGTGTTACAAGCGATTAACATCAACACTTTCAACAGGCAGAGCTTTTTAGTAAATAACAACTTTTGGTCGTAAAATGAACGTTATAGTTTTTTCATTTTGGGCAAATATTGTCTGAGCCGCTAGTGTAGTTTTTCAAAAAATACTTTTGCAGTTGTTGTGTTCTTGTCAAAAGTGAAGAAGAAAGAGGTCGTCGTGTCGATATAGAGTTCGATTGTTAATTGGAATGGTGGCGATCTCTTCAGTACGTGTTGTTTCGATTTCTGGAAAATGGAAAATCTTTTGAAAAGTCAGAAAAATAGTTAGTAATCAGTTAAGGTTAGTCAAAAATTAATCCGCAAAAAATAATAAAAAGCCCGAGCCTTGTCCCATCCGCCTCTACGATTTTTCCCTCCTGGTCGCGCTCTTCCCATATTCGGACGTTAATTTCAATAAGGGGCGTCGTGGGGCAGGTAAAGGCTCGCCGTCCCCCGCCCCCGATCGCGCGTTCTTCCTCGGCGGCGGCACCACATGATGCGCGGAGCACAAGTAGGTCAGTGGGCCATCCCCACCGCTAGCCGAGTCGGGCGCGTTGCCGCCCCACTCCTCCGTCACCGATAGTATGCGAGATGGTGTTGTGTAAGTCTGTACGTATGACTTCACAGCAGTAACATAGACCTGGTTCAATGGAAAGTGGGTCACTCACTTTCACTTGTTATTGCACGGCCCGGCCGTAATCATTTCGCGTCGTACCCCCTCGCGAGTCGGTCAGTACGAAGGGGTCGCCCGTGCGCTCAGTCCAGTGTCGGTACCGTCCGGATAAGCAGCGTCGCGCGTGAACACATTTTTTTGGATACCCCACCCCCGCCCGTTTCGTCGCATGGATTTAAGGGACGCGAGTGTCGAGACCTTCGGACCGGCGTCGTCGTCGCCCGTACCACTACCCTCGGTCATGTTCGCGTGGTGCAGGTGACGCAAAAAACTACCGGGAACGTCCAGCGAGAAATGTTACTGGACATGGAGAACCAATCCACTTTGTTGTCGTTAAACATGTCCCCGTTCAACCCAGGCCAGGGCGACTCGCCTGCCGCCCAAGCGTCCAGTCCCTTGTCCCATTACGGTTCACCGCCCATATCGACCCCGTACGCTAGTTGTCAACAGACGACGATGGGCGGCGGCGGCATGCCGCCCCATCCGAACATGATGATGTCGTCCCCTAACATGGGCAACCTGGACTCGTCTTACTCTTATTTGTTTTCTTCAGGGACGGGCGCGATCTCCGGTATAGATATGGGCGCCGCGTACCAGATCGCCGGTCCCAACGGCGGGACGACCATCGGTGGAGGCGGCGGTGCCGGGGGCGGCGCCGCCGAAACCACCGACACCAAATACGGGATCGAGGAACTATGTCCGGTATGCGGTGATAAAGTTTCCGGTTATCATTACGGTTTGCTGACGTGCGAATCGTGCAAGGGATTTTTCAAGAGGACCGTACAAAACAAAAAGGTGTACACGTGCGTCGCGGAACGGAGTTGTCACATCGACAAGACGCAGCGGAAACGGTGCCCGTTTTGCCGCTTCCAGAAGTGCCTCGACGTCGGCATGAAACTCGAGGGTGAGTGCTATTCCTTTTCCGTGAAAATCCATCGTACGCATCGTGCCTTTATCCAACGCAAAATTTACTTGAATTGAACTGAGGTGGGCTTTTACACTGATAAAAATCCATTTAACCTGATAAATAAAAAGTAAAAGTTCAGATTTTCACGAAATTCAGATGTAATACTTACAAACTATCTGCTGCTATATATACCGAAAAATGGCAATAACACCTTAATTAATGTTGTCAGAGTTTAAGTTTAATGGAGATCTATTTAAATCTAATTGATCGTTAAGCAATACATTTGTATGTCTCAATTTGTTAATCTTCACGGCTTCCAATAAATTTAATTTTCTGCTTTTTGTGGCTGTATGTAAAATATCAAAATTGTCGTCGAAAATGTGTTTTTCTATGTTTAAGTGTGTAGCACAATTCGAATCTTGACTATTGTTTTAAAACGCTCTTTTATGTTTTCTTTTCCGCATTTCAACCCGCAGACACCTGATTTTTGTGATTTTGGACATTTCGTTTTATTGTTTTTTTTTTTAATTATTGATATTTTATTTATTGATTTATTTTTATTAATATATTAGTTATTACAAAGTATAGCGACCACCATTTTTTTTTTTACAACAGATTAGTAAACTTAACAGACATAACATTTTCTAAAAATGAAATTGATTTTCTCGAAAAAGGTTTCAACTTTCGAACATTATAAAAGATTTCTGTGCACGCAAGTTTAGATTTACTTTTTTTAATATTAAAGATTTGCCATCTATCCTTAATATACATTTAAGAAATCGATTTCCCACGAACACACAGATACAGAACCAGATACAGAATTTCACCATCGGTTATTTTATTTTCAAATGTAAACATTAAAATTTTGAGTCAATAATTTCATTTACTCTTTAATATTGATACGTGAACTGAAAAGAATCTCTTGATTTCGCATTTAGTTAATCAAATGTAAATTGAAGATTATTAAATACCGTGTGTTCGGTTAAAAGAACTTAAAAAGAGCAGACATTTATAATAAACATATTTTATTCTAAACGAAAACCTATTTATAAACAAACATAAAAATAAAATCCAGACATGATAAAGAAATACAATATTTATTGTTTATATTGCGTACTTTGGTCACCCAGTGATTTTCAAAATCGGTATCCTTTAAACTGATCATTATATCCACTAATTTTCCATACAGATGCATCAGTGGTACACGTTGCTTCATTCTGAAATCAGTAATAAGGTATAAACACTAATCTGCAAACCAATCTTATTTTATATTGATATAGATGCTGTATTTTAATTAATTTTTATAACGAATTCATTATTATTAAAATTAAATTATTTATTTTTAATTTTTAAAGATTTTGTGTCTTACATTTCTTAATAAAAACAAACGAATTTTGTTAGTGGTCGTTATTATTGTAAAATGGGATCAGGAACTTAAAATTGATAAACTAAAAAACGCGCGTATTTGAAAATTAGTAAGTTACATTAACAAACTAGTAGCAAAGAAGGAAACCGGACCCTTTTCTGAACAAGTGTCCTTAAATTTTTTTTCCCGGAATTTATTTGGAAAATTATAAATACAAGTTTATTCATCTAAATCTATATTATCCCCTTTCTACTTTCGACTGCAACACAGTTGTGCCGGCGCTAAACAATTGAAACACCTTCCAATGAAGTTACTTTTACTAAAAGGAATATTCAGCAATAAATTCGTTTTACTGTTAGTAAAGTCTGTTCATAGATATACTGATACGAATTAACGAAAGACCCGGGCAAGCTGTAAGAATGAAATATGGCCGAACAGGTCCGTACTTTGCTTCGAATTTAATTATTTGTGGTTTTGTTAGGAAAGATACTAAACAATATTTATTTATTTATATATGTATTTATGTTTAAATCTAAAATAAAATTACAAATTATTTTTATTACCTACTTAAATTACTTAAAATTATTCACATGATATATCAGTTTCCCTATCGATATCATCGCCTGTTCTAATTATTATTTGTTCTATATTATTTGCAATATGGATATACGATTGTTCTGCTTTTTCTATAACAGAATTTGCCCAACTTCGTGGAGGGATCTAAAAAGCTTCGGTTTCTATAAGTTAGAGTTAACACGGGGAAAACATTGTTACGACGAATGGCAGATTTCAGTTGGTTGGTGTTCGATGGGATTAAATATACAGTGGTAAGGTGGAAGGAAGTCTTAAAACTGTATGCCCTAGATTTTTTGGATAATTATCACAGACGTATTCCTTTTGTAGGTTCAAGCTTTGTAGAAGCTCAATTAATTGCTTTTTGGTATAATCTTCGTGAAAATAAATGTCGTTATTATACATATAGTTTTGGATTGTTGCTTTTGTGTCACATGCGGAAGGGGTTTTAGTCAACTGTCTACTGTGATAACTTGCAACTAGTTTGTTTTTAAACCAACTTTCAAATAAATCAGCGGTGGTGTCTTCATGGTAATTCAGAGAAGAATCTTTAATAGTTTTCGCCGACAGGGAAAGTCCATTTGGAATCCAACCGTCTTTAGAGCCAGCATGCAAAATAGTTATTCTCGTACCTCTTTTTGATGGCGCGTTTGTTTTATACTTATCAGTCAACCTAACCTTTGTTGTTCTCTGTAAATCCTATTTTTTTCTATAGATTCCAGTCGCCATTTCCGAATTCTAAAAGATTAAAACTTGCCTTTTGTCAATTTTTTTAAATCTAAATACACTTCCATGGGGTAGTTCTGCCACATTTAACACCGGTTTCATCTTTTTCAAGCCTCCTAATTAAGATATCTAATGTAGGCGCGCTTTGTTCCTCCTATAACTAGTAAATTTTTACGCCGTATCATATCTTGATCACTTTCATCTACACTCGACAAAATGTCAGCATCGCTTCTTTTTTTCCTCACAATTTTGCATTCAATTGATGTTGGAATTTTCGTCTAAAGATGTTTGATTGCTGGCACCACGTTTAATGAGAGTCAAATAAACATTGTTTATACCTTCCTTAGTCTCAATAGAATAGTGTTTTCTACATTTGGTCGGGAGCATCTCCTGAGATACACTAGACTCGCACATATTTTGCATAATTCGCACACGATTCAACACGCGCTGTATTACACACGAATTAAGAATGATTACTAGTAAACTCAAACTAAGTAGTATGCCAAACCAAAGAATATTAAATGCAGGTAGGTATAAAATTATTTTCTATCACGGACCACAATTTTACCTGAATTTAAATTCCGAAACTTTAGGTAATAATCTTATTGCATTGTATGTTAAAGCAATTGGTCATTTTCTTATATCTATGAACAGACTATACCTTATGGATTTTCAATAAAATTTTGTTGTATTATGTAATATAATTAATTATATATAATGACCTTGCGTAGATGAGTAGGGTAAATCAATATTCTTAAGTACATTCTAGGTTTTTTAAAAAAATTACATGAAGTATATTGTACACAAAAAGTGGCTTCAAAGTGCTGTTGCAAAGACTGTCTACCGGTATCTGCTCAATAAACGATTTGTAACTAAAGTTTTTTTTTATTAAGAAATTCTCTTAGTAGATTGAATTTGTATATATGAAACTTGATTTTGCCACTTTAAGTGAGTATCTACAATAAGTCCTAGGTACTTGGTAGGTTAAACTTCTTTTATGGCGAAGGCGATGTGATTTGCTTTATATATTTATATGCATTAACATCGTCTCAGTTATACTGGCTCCCTTACTAAAACCAAACTGTTTTGCACTTATAACATCTTCGATGATTTTTTTTAAACTTTTTTTCAAAAATTTTTACCCAAATTAGAAATCACACAAGAAAAAATGACCCGCGGATCGTAAAGACACGATTTTTTTTTTGTTTATGTAAATAGGCTGGTAATCAAATATGTTAAAAATGTTTTACTTTCGAAGCGATCATAAGAATTAGAAAATCATAATGCTTAGGTATAATAATTATGGCCGTGTCTAGACCACAGACGATACTTACATTAATTGCACCTTCCGCTTGCACCTTAATGTCCTTCTTAAACGCAGTTTAAAAGTTAACCGGGTCCATTTACAATTGCTTTAAAAATTATGTTAATCAGCCGTTCCTAGTTACACGGGAGTTTTTTTTGTAACGACAAAAATTTGTGTGCGGTTTTTTTGTGTGTCTAGGTCGACTAACTGAAATGGAAAATTTGTAATTTGTAATTTGTATTACTACAATAAAGAAACGATAATAACTATCCCGTTTCTTAAGTATTATTTTTTTATTTTATTTTGCAAGGTATTTTTGGGAGCAGCGGTGGCAGTGTCTCTCGAAATTTGTGTTTTTTTCCGTTGTTCGTCAGCTTTTCTAGTTTTTATTCTATTTTTTTGTAATCTAGAAAAAATAGATAAAATAAACAAAATGAAACAAAACAAGATGTTAATAATAATAATAAAGAAAAAAAAACATATGAGTCAATTTTTGGTTTTGTATCAAGCGATCAAAATAATTTAGAATATAATCTAATGTATATTTGTTTATTTATGTTATATATTTATAAATCTAGCTAGTGTATATTATATTTATTGGGATTCCCAAAACCGCTAATTATCGTGTTCGGGTATTCCGTAAAAATAAAAGTATGTTCACTCTGCAAGTGCAAGGTTTTACTTAAAACATTTTGATCGAATTTGATTGGTCAATTAAGAAGTGGTCAGTTGACCAGCTCCAACACTACTGATTTGTGAAACATTTTCCTGATAACCGATAAGAAGGCAAAAAAAAATATTCACAAAGAAATCCCCAAATTTTTGAATGTGTAATGGTGTAAGGTGTAGGTTTCGGATTATCCAGTTTCTCCACAAAAAAGTCCAAATTTTTAAACAGTTTTAAAAAGAAACAGCATCTAAACAGTACATGGAATGGAGTTTCATTTTTGTGGAAATTATATACAGCGCAAAGTTCAGTACATTTCGGTGGAGTAATATATAACGCGTGGTGAGATCTGGTGTAAC